CTTTTCCAAGAAAAAAAATTTAAAAAATTCCCCCAAAAAAAAAAAAAAAAAAAAAAAAAAAAAAAAAAAAAAAAAAAAAATTAATTGCAATTCTGATATCCTCTTACTTAAAAAAAGTACATCTCATTAACAAATTGACTTCTTCCTATGGATCCTTTATATGCTTTCAGGACTTTTCTCAACTTTAGTCTCCTAAACAAACGACCTCAGTAAGCAAAGTGGGTAGCAGTGCTTATCATAAAAAGGACATGCTATCATCCATTACAGGTACACTGACATTCCATCTTACACCCTTTTTCAATGCTTTGCACATGCCAATCCACTATTTCTGTACACCATGCCTCATCTCAGAGAAATATTTTTAATGTATAAACTACAGGTCAATTGTGGGAGAAAGGTGGACATTGGACAAATAGAAAAAAAATGCTGCCCTAAAAATGTATCATGTGGTTCCAGTAACAAAAAATACCTGTAAATTCAATATGTGTCAATTAGTAACCCCCACTTTTCATATCAACCAGAAATGTCTAGGACATTTCAATTGTTGGTATTATAGACCAAGTTTTTAAACTCCAGGATTGAGTAATGTTCATGTTATCACAAGACAATGGGCTAAGTGAGTGGGACAAATGATGGAAAAATTCTCTACCTGGATCATCTGAACTTGTCCAATGATATAAACTGACCCTGGCCAGCGGTACCAGATGTAAACTATATACAGTACAACATAAGATATTCAACACAAATGTTATATGAAAGAAAAAAAATAAAATAAGGGGAGTGCTCTTAAATTAATGCCTTAAACTTCAGTCGTAAAAAATTAGATTAAACTGAAAAAAAAAATGAAGCCATAATCCAATGAATTATCAAGTTCAACTCTGCATATATCAACTTGAAGCTAATAGCTATCAGAATTAAAAAACTTAATTTTGATTAGGAATTGAACGTATGACCAGACTATTACAAGGGATGATTCCACTCACACCTTTTGTAATCCCCACAAATCTAATTTAGATGAGATATATTTGGTAGTGACACATTTTCCAGAAACATTGTTTTATTAGATTGGTGAAGCTGATGGTTAAAACTGTCACTTATATGAAAGCTTTGTCAGCAGTCAAATATACCTGCCAATATACCATAATTGTGGTTTGATGTATCCAGTGACTATATGCTACCCCAAAATTTTACTTTGTCAGCAGAGGACTTAAAGCAGGGATTAAAATCCTTTGGAACATTTTTAGTCAATGGACACCGGGTTTCACTGTATGACTAAAAAAGTGTATTTTTGGATGGTTATCAAAAACAATATAAATATACCATTTTTAGATTAATGTAACCATCACTAACTGGCCTTGGCAAAAATACTTCTGGTATGTACGAAAATTACAACTGCTTTTAGATCTTGATAAATTCTGTACGGGCAAAGATTTTATATTTGGTCTATATACACTGAAAAATGATGTAATATAAAATCAAATGTGTCTGTCTTATTACTAAAATCTTTATCTTCAAGACAATGTCTGCAAGGAATGGAATATCTGAATATTTTTTAAAATCAAAATTCACACACTCTGCCTCGCATTTTCATATACTTTATCAAAAATAAAAGTAAATGTCTTCATTTTCTGGTTCAGTCTCAAAATCTCCAAAATTTAAATTATATCTTTTTAATTTTGTTTTCTTTTTATCATAATAAATAAAACCCTAATCTAAAGCACAAACAGAGCTTCTCATCTTGGAAGAGGTATCTGCAGAAAACCTTTCGGCAATATATCAACAGTCAAAGAAAAAGCTGACAACCTCTCTTTTCCATAATGGAAACTTACCAAAGCTTATAGGCACTGCATCTCTGATAAAGCAAGGCACTTAAATCTGACACTTAAATCACACTTAACCACTATAGCATTATCAATATTTCCCAATATACATGAACCATAAGGCAAAAAAGTGTCAAACACACAAGGTTAAATGTCGATACCAATGATTCATCAAAATAAAATCCATCAAACCTTCAATTTATAGAATGCAAGATATATCCTCGAATGATTAGTTATTTAAATGTATAACAAATTGAACAATTAAATTGTTAAAGAAAGAGTCTACAATAGACATTCACACTTGACACTAAAGCAGGAACAAAAAGTAAACCTTTCAAAATGAGCGAATAAAATTTTGAATGTACATAACTACTGACCTTATTATCATTTTTATTAAAGAAACTTTCAAACCTCCAAAAGGCACTTTTAATTTTTTTCTAAAAACTAAGATCATGGAATGACCTTGACATTGGCCTCTCCCACCTAGGTGGCACTGATTTGCTGAGCTTGCGGTGGTGACTGTGGCCCATCTTGTGTATCCATATCTTCTGCTGCTGTGGGGAATACTGGCTGTTCCCTCTCAATGCCTGGAAACACTGGCTGAGAGTCAGGCACGGGAGTGGGAGGACCTTGTGATGATGAAGCCTCTTGTGACGAATCCCCGTCCATAGGTGCTAACTCTGGAGGCAATGGGGACTCGGCCTCCAACGGGCTCTCTGGTTCCTGCAGTCCTGCACCTGGGGTGTAGTCTTCAAAACCCTGCATGTAGCCCACAGCGTCTGGGCCAAGGTACTGATAGTGGTGGTTCATATAATCCAGGTCAGCATGCTTGAGGCGCATGTGTTTCTGCAGGTCCGCCTTGTAGCCAAAGGTCTTCACGCAGATGTGACATGTGAATGGGCGCTCCTTAGTGTGTGAACGCATGTGCTCAACAAAAGTTGAGCGGAACCGGAACCGTTTCAGGCAATACTGGCACTGAAAGNCAAGTTTCAAATCAAAAGGCAAAATGGTTTTCTACTTATCGTGTTATCGGTAAAAGTGCACGGCGACGGCAACGGCGACGACGGCGACGGCGACGACAGACGCAGATGATGGCTATATGTACAGACACATCTGTGTCTGTACATAAAAAAAAGTAGCAATTAATTGAGGCAATGACTTCATTCCCCAACTGAAAAACTGTATGTAATATACTGTAATTCATTTTTTTTTTACTTTTTCACAAAAATGTCTTTATGTCTTGCAGACCATATCATCCTCAGATAATAATACCCACCACAGCAATAAAATGAAGCTGACCTTTAGGTTGATGCACTTAATCAATGTAATCCCCACTATGTTCCTTCACCAACACAAAATTAATGTAATAGTATAATCACTTAAAACTACATCTATACTAAAAGTTTGAATAAACTACATTAAATGAACATACACCTTATCTAATTTTAACATTTGCTTTAAGCTTCATTCCAACATTTCTACGCAATTAAAACAGTTGGACTTCATCAACACTCTGTGTACATTATTCCATGACATCATTAATGTATGTGTATTACATCATTAATAATACCTATTACATCATCAAAAAATGAGCACTACTCATCACACAGCACTTCACTACATATTGCCTCAGGCAAATAGATCATCAACAAAATATACACAAATCACCTTCTAGTGCTTGCCCTTCGTCAATTTTGTGACACTATGTCACAAGTTTGCATAGATCTCTCCCCCACCAGATCACGCTATATACAAGTATTAAATTCATTTAAAAATGCTGTTAATTGATACATATTTTCTCTGCTGGATTAAAAGTTGCAGTTTATTAGGAATGATAAACTAAGGAAGATAATTCTGAGAAAAAAAATAATATATATATAATCATAATCTTCCTTTTGGTCCTCTTGGGTTATTTGTACTGTACTGACATATCTAAATCATCTCATTCATACAGGCCTGTGCCTCTATACCATATAGTGTATGTGATAATACTAGTCCTGCCTGTTACAACCCAGCTTCACAATATGGTTTACCTTAAAATTAAGTGCCAAATATACAAAGCATAAGCAGATGACCAAAGTGATTGGACAGAAAGGCAATGTGCACACACTACTACTTTGTCCCACCAGCAGTATTACAGATTATGTACAGCAATAATAATTCATGGTAAGAAAAAGGCACTTTCCTAGTATGGTCCTGGATATATAGAAATGTGTGTGTGTGTGTGTGTGTGTGTGTGTGTGTGTGTGTGTGACATACTTGTGTGCTCATTTAATCAATCTATACATATTAGCCCCTAACTAGCTTTACATTATATTATATTATAATAATTAGAAGTTATATGTAATTTATTTTAGCTTAACTATAAAGCTTGCATAAAATATCAGTAAATAAAATGTGCCTAAGAGATAAATACGCATATCTGCCAGTACTTAAGAAAATATTTTAGACTGCCATACTTGTGACCTCATATTCTTTCTTTCTACAGTAAATTTTTCATGATTATATGGTAAATCATAACAAAAATTAACAGTTGAATTTGGTCCCTCTGAAGAACTGGGTCGTTGCCAATGAAATGGAATTGGATGGAAATAATGTCTTCAGGAATGTTATGTTTTATATTTATATATACATATATTCAAATATAGGAAAGCAGATGGAAAAGGTACCTTTCACAAGGAAAGGCAACACTGGAATAAAAACTCTCAGAACCCATCTGTGCTCAAAGACTGCTCACAACAACAACAACAAAATATTATTTGCTTAGGATTTACTGGCCTTTTCTGAAAATGTATTTGAGAGAGAGAGAGAGAGAGAGAGAGAGTTACCTCAACTAAGAAGCAGTCTGTAAGGCCACCCTTTTAAGACAACTGTTTTGCATCCTACCAACATTTTTTCATAAGATTAACCTGGGTTTTCACACCTAAATTTTGACATCGGATTTTTGGGGAAGTGACCCATGTTTATAAAGATAAAAAAGAACATAAGGCCCAAAAAATAATGTCTCCATACATGAAAACTAAGACCAATTGAAAATATTTGCCTTTCAAAAATGTAAATGCTTCAGCTATCTGCAAGCCAAAGTACCAATAAGTCACTTCTGAGACTTGTTGTCATCTTTTAACTGTTATGTTACAGAAACAATTTTACAGTAACAATTTATAACATTGCATCCATTGGCCTGTAGAAAATGCTAAAAACTGGGTGACCTAAGCTGTTATAAACATGTCACATGTTAGTCCAGTATGTCTGTAATAGGCACTGAATATTAGGTTTAGTTAGACTGAATCAGTATTAAAAGAAGTCAGCAGTCCTAATTCTAAATTTACTGGCAATATGCAGCATCATAACATAGTCATGATGCAGTCTCCAACTTTTTTTTTTATTCAGCATAAGCTGTGTTGTGTGCACTGATGTCAGTAGATTGGTACTCATTTACTGTCAGGGTTAACATGATCATATGGTCACTACCAAATACAGTCTTTAAGAGCATTCTTGAATTTGCCCAAGTTTAACACTTAAAAGGTACCACTGATGGCAGTTTAAAGCCTGCTTGATTATCATACAATAGTAACATTCATTTCATTCAACCTATTAAGCAAGAAAATAGTTCCTCAGGTTACGTATATCAGTCCATAACTTATAATCTAATTGATAGCTTTAGCATTGTGCTTATATGCCTATATATGATATATATGTAATACTATTGTAAGTAAATGTCTCTACTGGCCTTTTCTCAAGTACCGCTGGCCATTCCATTTTTCTGATCCATCATATTACCTGCAACATGAGCAAGGGGCCCAAAAAAAAGTTCGATGTCTGCCAAAGGATACTTCAGTATCCATGCTTTAAAAGTCCACAGCATGTGATATGAATGACACTTCACTTTTCTAGCAAGATCAGTCTTGATAACTTACACCGAGCATAAAAAAAAAAAAAAAAAAAAAACTTGGTTAATTGCAATTCTGATATCCTCTTACTTAAAAAAAGTACATTTCATCAACAAATTGACTTCTTCCTATGGATCCTTTATATGCTTTCAGGACTTTTCTCAACTTTTGTCTCCTAAACAAACGGCCTCAGTAAGCAAAGTGGGTAGCAGTGCTTCTCATAAAAAGGACATGCTATCATCCATTACAGGTACACTGACATTCCATCTTACACCCTTTTTCAATGCTTTGCACATGCCAATCCACTATTTCTGTACACCATGCCTCATCTCAGAGAAATATTTTTAATGTATAAGCTACAGGTCAATTGTGGGAGAAAGGTGGACACTGGACAAATAGAAAAAAATGCTGCCCTAAAAATGTATCAAGTGGTTCCAGTAACAAAAAATACCTGTAAATTCAATATGTGTCAATTAGTAACCCCGACTTTTCATATCAACCAGAAATGTCTAGGACATTTCAATTGTTGGTATTATAGAGCAAGTTTTTAAACTCCAGGATTGTGTAATGTTTATGTTATCACAAGACACTGGGCTAAGTGAGTGGGACAAATGATGGAAAAATTCTCTACCTTGCTCATCTGAACTTGTCCAATGATATGAACCTACCCTGGCCAGCGGTACCAGATGTAAACTATATACAGTACAACATAAGATATTCAACACAAATGTTATATGAAAGAAAAAAAAATAAAATAAGGGGAGTGCTCTTAAATTAATGCCTTAAACTTCAGTCATAAAAATTTAGAATAAACTGAAAAAAATGAAGCCATAATCCAATGAATCATCAAGTTCAACTCTGCATATATCAACTTGAAGCTAATAGCTATCAGAATTAAAAAACTTAATTTTGATTAGGAATTGAACGCATGACCAGACTATTACAAGGGATGATTCCACTCACACCTTTTGTAATCCCCACAAATCTAATTTAGATGAGATATATTTGGTAGTGACACATTTTCCAGAAACATTGTTTTTTTAGATTGGTGAAGCTGATGGTTAAAACTGTCACTTATATGAAAGCTTTGTCAGCAGTCAAATATACCTGCCAATATACCATTATTGTGGTTTGATGTATCCAGTGACTATATGCTACCCCAAAATTTAATTATGTCTGCAGAGGATTTAAAGCAGGAATTAAAATCCTTTGGAACATTTTTAGTCAATAGACACCGGGTTTCACTGTATGACTAAAAAAGTGTATTTTTGGATGGTTATCGAAAAATAATATAAATATACCATTTTTAGATTAATGTAACCATCACTAACTGGCCTTGGCAAAAATACTTCTGGTTTGTACGAAAAATACAACTGCTTTTAAATCTTGATAAATTCTGTACGGGCAAAGATTTTATATTCAGTCTATATACACTGAAAAATGATGTAATATAAAATCAAATGTGTCTGTCTTATTACTAGAATCTTTAGCTTCAAGACAATGTCTGCAAGGAATGGAATATCTGAAGATTTTTTAAAATCAAAATTCACACACTCTGCCTCGCATTTTCATATACTTTATCAAAAATAAAAGTAAATGTCTTCATTTTCTGGTTCAGTATCAAAATCTCCAAAATTTAAATTATATCTTTGTAATTTTGTTTTTTATCATAATAAATAAAACCCTAATCTGAAGCACAAACAGAGCTTCTCATCTTGGAAGAGGTGTCTGCAGAAAACCTTTCGGCAATATGTCAACAGTCAAAGAAAAAGCTGACAACCTCTCTTTTCCATAATGGAAACTTACCAAAGCTTACATAGGCACTGCATCTCTGATAAAGCAAGGCACTTAAAACTGACACTTAAATCACACTTAACCACTATAGCATTATCAATATTTCCCAATACACATGAACCATAAGGCTAAAAAATGTCAAACACACAAGGTTAAATGTCGATACCAACGATTCATCAAAATAAAATCCATCAAACCTTCAATTTATAGATTGCAAGATATATCCTCGAATGATTAGTTATTCAAATGTATAACAAATTGAACAATTAAATTGTTAAAGAAAGAGTCTACAATAAACATTCACACTTGACACTAAAGCAGGAACAAAAAGTAAACCTTTCAAAATGAGCGAATAAAATTCTGAATGTACATAATCTACTGACCTTATTATCATTTTTATTAAAGAAACTTTCAAACCTCCAAAAGGCACTTTTAATATTTTTCTAAAAACTAAGATCATGGAATGACCTTGACATTGGCCTCTCCCACCTAGGTAGCACTGATTTGCTGAGCTTGCGGTGGTGACTGTGGCCCATCTTGTGTATCCATATCTTCTGCTGCTGTGGGGAAAACTGGCTGTTCCCTCTCAATGCCTGGAAACACTGGCTGAGAGTCAGGCACGGGAGTGGGAGGACCTTGTGATGATGAAGCCTCCTGGGACGAATCCCCGTCTATAGGTGCTAATTCTGGAGGCAATGGGGATTCGGCCTCCAATGGGCTCTCTGGTTCCTGCAGTCCTGCACCTGGGGTGTAGTCTTCAAAACCCTGCATGTAGCCCACAGCGTCTGGGCCAAGGTACTGATAGTGGTGGTTCATATAATCCAGGTCAGCATGCTTGAGGCGCATGTGTTTCTGCAGGTCCGCCTTGTAGCCAAAGGTCTTCACGCAGATGTGACATGTGAATGGGCGCTCCTTAGTGTGTGAACGCATGTGCTCAACAAAAGTTGAGCGGAACCGGAACCGTTTCAGGCAATACTGGCACTGAAAGTGTGCAATCCCAATTTGCTGGCTTCCAGAATTTTCATGGATCACCAGGTGACGTTCCAGTAGACTCTGGAATTTGAAACGCTTGTGACATATGCGGCACTCATAGGGATATGTCTTGGACTGATCGTTGTTGCCTCTTTGCCTTACACGGTTGACATTGTGGTATTTCTGCATGTGCTTGTTATAGCTGCTGCTGAAAGAAAAGCCAGCATTGCACTGCTCACAGACGTAGGGCTTAGCTTGGGAGTGGACAGGCATATGTTTGCATAGATCCCCTTTATAGGAAAAGGCTTTGCTACACACAGGACATACATAAGGCTTCTCCTTTGTGTGTGTACGGATGTGCTCATTGTAGCGGCTCTTAAAGCGGAACTTCTTGTGACAGTACTCACACAGGTAGTATGGAATGGATTCGAGGTCAATACTTTTGTCGGCATCCACTATATCTGGGTCATGGGTCAAATAGTGACGTTCCATCAGAGATTTCTGCTCAAACATCTTGCCACATATTGTGCAGCCAAATCCTTCATCCTCTCCACCTTGGCCTTCTGTGCCCCCGTCCTTCTTCTCCGAACTCGAACCTACTGTTGATGGGGAGAGAGAAGCTGGGTTGCTGCCGTTCCCCTCACTCTGTTGCAAGACAGGTCCGTTACTGATACTGGAGTCCAGAGAAACAGGACTGGCATTAGGGAATGTATCATTTTTGTTGTTATTATTGTTGTTGTTGTTGCTGCTGCAACGTTGTGCGTTTACATTGTCGGAAATAGATAAAGGAGCTGAACCACCTTGGCTGCTGCTGCTGGTCTTCTTTTGTAGTTTCTGCTTCAGGCTAGCAATGGTTTGGTGCAGAGACTTGGAGCTGTTGGCGGCTTTGCTGCTGCTCTTCTGACTCAAATCAAGACAGCCTTGATCATCCATCTCTTCATCCTGCTGCTGTGGTTGTTGTTGTCCAGCCTCGTAGACAGATTCCATGGGGCCATTGTGCCTGACACTATTGCCCTTCGGCTGATTCCCCTCTTCTTGCATATACTGACCCTCCTCGTCAGAAGTAGGCTCCTGCTTAATATCGATCACCAGATTGCTGTCAGCATCTGTGTCTGTAGAGAGGCTTCTATCCCTCCTATCCTCAGACCCTGCATTGCTATGGTTACTGGAAGGCGGAAAGTGAGCAGCTTGCAAGTCATCTTTTTGACCCGACTGCCCACCACCCAAATCCTTCCTACGCAAATCCTGTGCCACAATTTCCATGCCCTCACCTCCTTCGCTTGCAGGACTGCCCCTGGCATTCATGGGAAAGTGGGGACTGTAAGGGGTAGGGCCTCTCAGATACATATTCACTGGAAACATTACCTGGTCCACCTGGGCTCTGATCTGGGATGGGCTCAGCAAAGGTGGAGGCATCACATGAGGGGGTCTGTGCCCTGGTGAACTCATGGGGCTCATCTGGCCCTGCTGTTGTTGTTGCTGACCTTGAGATGGTCTTCTCAAGAGGTCCCGAATGGAGCCATCTGTGGCACCACCACTCGCAGTGCCATCTGGTGACAGATATGATGGACTCACTGTCTGGCTGTTACGACGTCGACAAGAGGCGCTGATGAGAGGAGGCGGTCCACCTGGTGGGCTGTGCATATACTGCCCAGAGACTGGGATGATGAAAGGCGGGTGACCCATGGGGCCTGGGAAATATGGCATCTGGAATTCAAAAATGTAGTGATGTGAATGTTGAGGCCACTATACTCAACAACATGTGTCACATGTTATAATTCTTTCTTTGGGCAAATAAAAATATACTTGTTTTGACAATTTGGTAACATTTCTTTAGAAGCATTTTTCTAAATAATAAATCAAATGTTTCTGGGAATATCTCAATTTACTAAGGAAGATAAATGGCCAATTTTGTCAGTACTGGACACAAAACTGCGACATGTTCATGCAGCATGTAAGATGTTCAGAAGGTATGATTTAAATGTAACTGTTCATGAACATTTTCAAATTCCATTTATTGAAACTGGAGCAAGTTTTTTTTTTCCTAATATCAAAATCAAAGCATTATTAAAGGGATAATAACTCTTCGTATGAGATCTATATTTTACAATAAAAACATTGTAAATAACTCATAGAAATATAATATATTCTGTATTACCACAAAAAGGGCAGTTATAGCTATTATTCTGATATCTGAGCTTGTCTTTAGACCACGTGACCTTTATTGATGGCTATACTCTGTTAAAATCTCTTAAGAGATTTTAACAAAAAACCAAACTTTTTAGAAAAAAATCAGGGACTAACTTTGAATGTAAAAATGGATTCATTAACCATTGGTAAGTATAGGAAAATTGTTGTTTACTCCAGGAAAATTCATTTTTTGGCCGAAACGAAGAGTTATTATCGCTTTAACAGACAAGCTATAGGGACAGACCTACAGTGTATATGAAGATACTGGCTGCCAAAATCCATATATAGGAACTAGGAATGTTTAAAAAGGAAAAAGACGCCCCTCCACATCTGTGAACTCTCCTAGTGAACTGATATTTTTTACAAAATCCAGTAATTTTCTTAGCTTAATTTTCACATGAAAACCAGAATACCTCTTCTCTAAACAATTTACATTGGTCCCACTGAGCAATTTCAAAAACCACACCTACGCGTTTTTTTTTTTTTTTTTTGTATTTGATTTCTTCATTTCTTCACAACAGACAACTAGTTTTTTGATACTCAATCTACAGGTGAATAAAAGCAACTCAATTCCTCAAAACGAGAGAAAATCATGATTCCAAAACAAATTTGGCGATAAACAGATAGTGGACATTCATGAGCCGAGACTTGTGCCAAGTGAGAGGAATTAGGACCATGATGCAAAGTTAGATCATCTAGGGGAATTCTTCAAAATATCTCTGTTAAGTGTCCAATCAGAGGCCTACAATTCTACAATAGTGAACAGTATACCTGCGGCGCTGGTCCCTGAGATGCCATGCCATTCTGTAGAGCTTTGCCTTGTGAGGTAGTCAAAGAGGAGGCTTCTACACCTGGGAATACACCAAGTTTATGAAAAATATAAGATAAGATCTTCATCACTGAGATTTTCATTTATAACTTAGACAAAGGTCTTTTCATGCAAAATAATAATAAAAATTATTATTATTATTATTTCAAAGTTAACATTTATTTTTTATTATTCAATCAATAGAAATTTACAAAAGAGAATTAGCAACATTGAACAGATAAACAGGAATAACTCACGGTGGCTAAGAATTTTTAAAAGAAATAAAAAATAGTTAATCAGATCGAACCTTTAACACTTGATGCAAAAATAATAAGAAAGAAAGAAAGAACGAAATAGCACAACTAATCCTTGTTAAAAGCCAAACCATCTCTTTTTATGTACGTTGGAAAATGTGCAGATAGACAAAACCCATCTTTTTTTCTTACCCCCTTCTGGACTCAGGCTACTAGTTCCAGGTTTACGCCCTGTCCCATTTCCCTTTTTCACTACTTCAGTGATCTGAACAATCTGGACATCACCGCTGTCTGATGACACACACACAGTGCCTTCGATGACGAGGCATGCATGGTGACTGATCTGGTTTCGACACAGCTCTATAATAGCCTGGGTCATCAAATTTTTAATGTGTTTTTGCTTTTCCACAGTCATTGTCTCAGGTTCTCCTCATCTCTTTCATAATGATCTGGAAATATAGAAAATACAGTGATTATGAATTATCTTTGTTTTGCCTTGCCACTGTTATATGTCTTGGCTTGTTGGCATTTCTATTCATTGAATTCTCTTCTGGAATAAAAGGCATGCAGAAACAGTGAAAATGGTCAGAATCATTTCATAAGTTTGACCACATATTATGTTAATATATAACGTACAAAAGACTGCACTTTTTTTCAATGTCCAATATTCAGTCCTATTAAATAGACTCGTTCCTCATATTTTCGGAGATTCTTAATAATTTTCATTTCCATCGAAAAATATGCTTAAATAAAATTGCATAAAATTAATGGAAGCCTTACTTTATTCAAAGCATCAGTTGGAGAGAGATTAGACGTTATGCTAAAAAGGGCATGATGTTCACTCAACTCAACATTAACAGAAACAAATTAACTTCTAAATGTCTCTGAATCTAAATTGTAAACCTATTTGTTTAGCATGAAAAAAACATAATTGTCTTCCATTGGGTATGGCATTTTTTCCTAAATATATGCAGTCTCAGCCTCTCAGGTATAAATTTCACTGGCAGACTATCCACAAACAGGGAAATGGCCTACAGGTATGAAATCCATCTTCACAAAAACTGACAGTGTCCCTCTTAGACACGAAAATCACATCAATGTGACAAAACCATATATAAAACCTTTTAATCTTATGACAAACCAGTAACAGATTAAATTTAAAAAAAAAAAAAAAACCTGAATGTTAAGTATTTCCTGCCCCTAAACTTTCAAGGAAATGCTCAAGTTTAATCGAAAGAAAACACATTTGCCACTGCCAAGCTGCGGGGCAAAGTACAGGATGTGTTAGATTAAACTATTGAAAATTGAAATTGAATTTTATTTGGTATGTCAGCCATATCCTTTTCCCCAGTTTGAGGTTTAAACATTTTTCTCTACATGGAGAATATGAAGTTTTCACAGTCAGCATGTATGCAAGTCAAAGTGTTAATATGTTGGTACACTGAAGTTATCCTCATCTCATTAAATGCTTTCACATCAACAAAAATTAAAATACTTTCCACTGATTGCAGCTAAGCCATCAGAGATGCCAGCCAAACAAGAGGCCACTTGAGTGCACTGTACATTGCTAGATCATTTAAATTGGACAATTCAATGATTGTAATTGTGAGACTTTATTAAATTTGCCTTGAATATATTGTTACAATGAAACTGTTTCAAGTTTGCATTTTCTGTTTCTGCTTCAACATGTCCAACTTGGCCTACTTCTTTAGTGGGGTTTATCTTTGTGGTGACAGATCATGAAATGGAGAGCATATCCTTACTGCATGTATTTCCTCACTGTAATACATAAATAAATAATTGTTTTTACTGATGTAACCTTAGCAAAGGTCAACATACTCTGTAGTCTTCAAATTCATAAAAATTCACAGTAAAAATCAGAGAATGGTTTAACATTTTTCTTCTATCAAAAAAAAAAAAAAAAACATTTCTGGGTGAAAAACATTCACTTTAAATTCTTCCAGTTCATAGAAATTAAAACTAAAATTCACAGAATGGTTTAACATTTGCTTCTCCAAACAAACCACATTTCTGGGTGAACTGTGATTACAAGCAGCAGGAAACCCAACCCCGCCACCAGGATGTCAGATAGTACTGAGGAAAACATACTGTAAGAAGACTCCACACCAACTTCAAGAAACTATTAAGTTGACAAAGCCTTTTTTTGTTTTGTTTTGTTTTAAATTTCATCTGTATTGATGGTATTCCACATTTTGATCATAAAATTTTAACACTTGTTGGTATAAATAAAGCATTCTTCATCTCATATTTTTATGTATATTTAAAATACGAAAGTTAAGTGACTGTGAGAGTGGAGGCCAGTGCTGGGAATAATACAATGCATTCCTGTTTTTTCAGTATCACAAAGCATTCTTCTTTACGTTTTGATACACAAGCTGGTGTTTGGAATACTACCATACAAACACAACCAAATAAGTTGGGAATACTATTGCATATACAAGATCAAACAAGTCAGAAATACTACTACATTTACAAAACTAAATATGTTCCATTATACTTACGTTTTTGCACTACAAGCACCAACTGGCATGATAAACTTGTAATTTCACAAATTTCAATATTTATCATCTTTTCTCTGGGGAATATGTTATTTACATTGAATAAGATGAATACCTACATTATACCTATCAAACGTTAACAGATCAATGACCCGAGGTCTCAGATGATTGATTTTCAATAAACACCTGTATAAATGTTATGATACTATTGATCACTAGATCACACAGATGGAAAAAAACCCCAATAGTTTAAATACCATGTCTCGGCATTTAATTCAGATATGGAACATAAGACCTTTCAATTATATAAGAACTGCACAGTTGCCATGTGTCAAACTCCTCAATTTTTTTTAACATTCCAATTTTAAGCTATAAAAATAATAATAACAAATAACAGCAGTACATACCAAGACTTAATACATATGTATGACAAGTAATTTATACAATCAATAATGTCAGTCACTGAACATTCACATTACTGGCATAATAAAACTTCTACCATGAAAATGTTTAATAGCTATCCCTGTCATTATCAGAAATATGCAAAGGCAACTGTATTTTTTCAAGCACTGCTATAAAAGCTGATATGTAAAATGATAATATTCCTTGGTCATACTTTTTACTGTTTTTGACATGATTATAATACATCCCACACTTGAAGAGCCACTGATTTATATGCCAGGCTCTGGATCGACTGAATAAGACAGCTGTAATTTTCATGTACAAATTTTAAAGTAAGGTTCACAGGAAAATCGGATACATACTCCTATTTTTATTTAACTGTTCTGTGTGATGAGAGATCCCTTTTACTTGCTTGATTGAACTTTTTATAGCCAATGAGTGTTCCAATCTTTAACTTCAGAATTTTTATGACCAAATCACTCAAATACTTTGAACATTTGTTTTAATTATAGCTGTCTTCACTGCCTTCAGAATCCAGCTCGGTAAAACATGAAAAAGTGAAAAATTTGTCTGGACACCTCCTCAACAGGTGGCAGCACTAAAGTAGATTGCCATGTGCAAAATAACAAGAACCAGGCATAAGAATACTTTCAAATCCCATTTGCAATGCAATTAGTGTAATTTGGTAAGTCCTGGAGTCTAAATACAAGTTTCAATTGGTCGATCAATGATCAATTCCAATAACTATTGCCGAACTTACAAATTGATCTTCTGGGTCCTTGCTCTTTGTGCTCTTTCCCTGGTAATCAATGCAACATAATGGTAACGCAGGAAAACATGGGACAATTACTTGTATTTATGGGAAACGGTCATCGAATTTTTGGATGCTTAATATTCACATGCCCATTCCCTCTCCTTTTAATATAAGGACTTTGATTTTCATTCCATGTTAAAATATAGGCACTGATTCATGTACATGGACGCTAAATTTACCATTAATTCAAAACACAAAGAAAAAGGTATCAAAATTGGAAAGATAATCATTTCATCCAAAGATGAATTTCAGGAACAAAATTCCTGCACATGACTTCTTTAATGACTGACCAAACTAAACATCAGATAATAGATAAAATTTCTTTTGTTTGTCTTTTCTGAATTATCTGAAATTTCAAATACCTCTTTGATTTGAAAAATAATATTAGAAAGTTCATGGCAATTTCCATCAAGATTTAATGATCCATTTTTGTCTTTTTTTAGGCAAAAAAACTAGGATATTTAGGTGTAACAAGAATATATAATCTCCATCCTCAACTCCCCCCCCTTCTCCAAATAAGCTCATTTTATGATCCAGACATTTAAGATTTATATGTAGCCCTTTGTTAAATAATACCAAGATGTCATCTCCCAGACACTAGAATTAATGTGAAAGTACACGGAACAGTCTAGCCAAAAGCATAGCATTACTTTTTGGACATATCCGCTGCATATCTTTATGGACTGTTTCACAAATTCCCCTTGCAAGATTTTCAATTTTATTTTTGAATTCAAACTTCTCACATATTGCTCATCATATCCTAGAGGCAGAAAACTAGTTGAACTCCCCCTGATTATTTCACATTAAAGGGTGCCCCTATAACTTAAACCTGTGCTCTTAATGCTATGTAAAGGACCTGGTATGCTAGCCCCTTTGGCAGAGCTCTTAGCACCTGTATAGAAATTTTGAAAATGCTACACCAGTCCTCTTCTGAAGGTGTCACCATGTCATTGAATAAACCTTTTGATATAACTGCTAATTTTTAAAGAAATAAATACATTTGCACATGCATAAACACACACACACACACACACACACACTGATGGCCAAACAAAAATAATAAAAAAAAATTTAAATTACATAGTACCCTCCCCCTCCAACAAACATTCACACTTCCTTATATACTGAACTAGTGAACTTAGTTAAACTTCATAAGATTTAAAAATAAATAAAAAAAAAACTGATGGTGGGCATTTTCTTTCATTTGTTAGCACAAAAGAATTACATGGTAGTGGCTAGATTGTCTAGTCTGAAATTTCACCAGATTTATAATAAATTTAAAGCTGAAGTGACCCCCCCCCCACACACACACACACACCAACTCAAATTCTTGAAATCTGAACCTCTGCTCTGAACTGATTCTACAATTCAAGTAGAACAGTTCTTTAATTCTTATACATGTACCAAAGAAGAAAGAACTTTAACCAAGAATACCACAGATTTTTCATTCTCAACTCATTTAATTGGGAAAAGGCAATAGTTTTCAACAAAAATTCAACGCAATTGATGAGTAGGTCAGTCACAGCACTCACATAAGAAAAAAAAACACTACCACTGACTAGATTGGTGGTTCATCTGCTGAGTAACAGGAGGCCTTATATATTGACTCTAATATGGCTGGTACACTACAAGCTTGCACAAGAGGCTCCACATCACACAGGTCATTATATAGAGGCTCTTCCCTGCTGACCCATGTCTCTAGAATAGACTGTTG